GGTACACGCACGTGCACGCGGGTACACGCACGTGCACGCGGGTACACGCATGCACGTACCCCCTTCCTTTTCCTTTTCCCATTTCCTATTTAGACTTTTAAAATAGGAAACGAATCAGAAACCCATTTCTTATTTTCTATTTTCATTTTAAAAATAGGAAATAAGTCAGAAACCCATTTCCCATTTGCAACGTCAAATGGGAAAACAAACTAACGGTATGTACCGTGATTATGCATGTACGTAGTACTGCAACGACTCTGTAAGTCGGTTTTCGCGAACGTCAAATTAAATGCAACGCGAAACCCGAAGTTTCACTAATTTTCTCACCCACATCGGCTATAGGCTATATCATAAATCAATCAAATTTTCAACATTGCTGCTCGTTTAAAACTATAACGCGCTTCATAAATAAAGGAGAACAATGAGGTCAATAACATCAGGACTGAATATGTAAAACCAGAATTCCAAACCACGGCGTTAAAACGCGCGCAGCAATGGCTGGAGTGGATAGATCTCTCTACGTAATGTAGTAGGCCCCCTATGCGTGAAAGCGTGGACCGCCTTTACGACCGACGAATAATGTGGCTTAACGTCGATTTCCATTTTAATGACATAAGGCTGAGAAGCGTTTTCTATATTATTTTATGTATTGAACTATCTACTCACATGTAGGGTAGACGATGTATCGCAGGGTATGCGGGATCGCCAGGGTTTGCGTTGAACGGCGATCCATCCTTTGGGTGATACTGGTCCAACACACCGTATGGTTCGTAGTTGGATTCAAATAGCGAGGTGAATACGCAGATTTCTTGAGTTGTATCTGAAGGCTTTGAAAACGGAAGTGCCGGCCTCGAACGATGACCGAGGCTCGATTTATAGCCAAGATGAGTTGGGTTGTTGTTGAACGGAGATTCACGCAGAGGATGGTATCTATTTAAAGGCCCATACTCCACTCCGTAGTTCGATGAAGAGATTCCTTTGGTGATAGAGAAATACAGCAATGCCATCTGTAAATAGAGACTCAGTGTAGTATATAACCACATGCATGCTATAGTATTGTAGCCAATAGATCTGATACAAAGAAGATTTATTAAATTATGTGACATACTTACTACAACATCACTTACGGCAACTTCAAAATGTCGTGATTTGTTTGTTTTCATATGCACGTGTTGATTGTATAAAAAAATCACATCGTAAAAATAATGTTCAATAGATTTAAAGCAGTCTCATCACAACCGCTTTCATATTCCAAATCAAACATGAAGCGAAGCACTCTATTAGATAACTAGCGAGCTAACGCACCTTAGCATCACTTACCATAATCGCAAAGGTCACACATGGTATTTGCTGATGCGCGATAATTTTAATCGCTTTCTTTCGGTACAACAGCTAGAAACATTGGAAACACGTATTGATCAACAATCGATGACGGGTAATCTTTAAAACAATACAATAGCAGGTACAGCTATATATATATATGTATGATATGTTTGTAGCGATATTTGTTTGATATACGCTTGATGCAATAGATTTTTATATATTATACTCTCATATACGATTACCTGTGTAGCAATTCATCCAACGCGCACGCATGCAACCTCTTATCGACGAATGGCTTGTCAAAAACAAACGCCTAGGCAAGTGAGCACATTTCGGGGCAGGTGGGTCTTATAATTATACGCTAACACTTTATGAGCATAATAAAATTTTCGGTGAGTACTATCATTGTCATCTTGGAACGCTGTAATTTCGTCTCACGCATAATAAGCGACAACATGATAACAATCCGCATTGTATCCCTGCATGCTATATCTCGAAGAAATACTAACTGTGCCCGTAGATGTTCATTCATGCACATTTAAATAGCTTATTATGTCGCTGTAAATTAATAATGGGAATAAGGTCAGATAGTAAAGAATATGACATGCTTCCGCGCTGGGAAACAAACAAGAAACACGAAGAGAAAATGTTTACGGCTCTAGATCCAAAAGTACGCCTACGTGTCAGCACGGTAAATGTCGTAATCTCGTGCTGTGGTTCGCTTGTAGTTTAGCTCTGGCGATGTCCTATGCACTGCCTCAATTCACTCTACATCAGCAGCAGCCGTATTGTGTAGAAACGGCGACATGTGTAACATAGTTGACGTCTACAATTATTAGGGAATACAAACACACACACACACACACACACACACACACACACACACACACACACACACACACACACACATCTTCATTTCGTGTATATTCGGCGTACGCACATTCTAGAATCCAAGTACGTTCTCTTGTACGTAAATGACTAATACATACTGAGAATACCTCTACATTATGTCGCGTTTCATATTAGCACAATTCTGACTACATACGGAGAAAGAGAAAATGGATCAATCATCAGAAATCATGACTACCTATAGTACCAGTAGCAGTAGGATGCAGAAACGGTTAGTATTTAAGCGTAGCTCGTGCGCTTTATATATAGCATCTGTAAGGTTAGGTAAGAAAGGGGTTTCTTTTAAACGGTTGAACACGGTTAGAAAGGGGCTTCTTTTAGACCAATAGTTGCCAACGATTCTCGTTGGTCTCCGTGCGCGGTTTGAATTCCAACCCATCCAATTTCAGTCGCCGTTGTCCCGATTTGCTATTGACAATATTGACTATTTGCTACTGCAATAGTTGATTAATTAGTCAGGCCACCAATTCTGTGTTAATTCATGCATATACAGGCTTTATCTATCGAATTGATGTAAGAAGGACTGCGCTCGTGGACACGCCTGTGAAAGTTGTCACACCATGTGCGCGCACAACCGGTCTCTATTCAAGCCGATTCGCGCGAATCCATTTCAGGTAGAGCCACATAGCAGAAGTGTTTTTATAATGACCTTTATTTCCAGTGATACATATATATTTGTACAATTTATTATACACGATATCAACAATAAAGTAATAGTAGCAAAGTTCACTGGTGATACAAATATCAGGTTAAAGACATTGACAGATATATAAAACAATTTTACATTGTAATATAAGTTATATTAGTAAACTAATGATATAATGTAGGGGCCTATGCTGGTAGAAACATCGCTGGGAAATGTTTAGTATATCAGTAGGTATTACTAGTGCATAGGAACTGATCAATCATATTAGTATGGGGTGATGAATCATATTAGAATCTTTACAGAGTACTATTATGAACACACAGGCGCCAGAGCGATTATCCATCCTGTTTTTGTCATATACCAGCGATGTATTTGTCAACGTACATTACGTTTGCCAAGTATGCTTTGACGACAGTAATTGTTTGGCTTTATCCCGCTTAATTTGGAACTAAATATAATATATAATATATATATATATTTGGCAACAAATATATTAATATTAAACGCTATAGATATTCTTCAGGTTTGGTATAGTATCTGCAGATTGAATCCGAATAACATGTACATATCCGCATAGTATAAACCTTTGCTGCAGGTCTAACGATAGCTGTGATACATATTCATATTGAACAAACAGTTGGACCATCGATTATATGTTGGTTTCACAGAAATAACATTTATCCGAGTGTATATATGAAACTAACAAAAGCAAGAAATTTCTTTGTGGGGACGATATGATAGAGTATTTTGTATTTGAAGTTTCTCAACCCTGTGTCTAGTGTAACCGAAAAGGGTAGTTGATTTATTTATTTCATTTCATTTGGGCGACACGTCGCCGACATGTCCGCGCCATCTGCATGTACATTAATATCGCATAGAACCTGTCACAGAGCAGTGCCGCCAGCCCGCCACATTGAATCAGCGAGGTCGTGATTTGCGATGCGCACCTCCAGACCTCCTGTAAGCATGCCACTCCAGTTTAAATGCTTATTGTTGGCCCTACGTGCCCGCCGCCCAGCCCGCGACAGATATACATCGTAAAATCGGATCAATCAATAATTATTTCACTTTGCTCGCAGCATCTCGCCACAATTCTGTACCTTTGCTAATGTCCTATCCTCTATGCTAATGCTATAAATCCGCGTCGCTGGCGGCTTTGCCTGCCAAAACGTTTCGGCTAAACTTGCGCGCTCAACTTGAACAGGCGCGGGCGCGCGACAGATCTAGATGTGCATAGTAAAATCCTATCTAAAAAGTTGATTTTTATCGCAGCATCCCACAAAAATTCTCCACCTACGCTAATATACATAGAAATGGCCCTCGCGTCGCTGGCCGCCGCTAAAGCCAAGGTAATTTTCTTCGGCCGATCTTATGCACCCAAAATGGGCAAGCGCGGGTCCGGGACAGGTGTGCATGGTAAAATCCGTTTTACAAAGTTCACTTTGCTCGCAGCATCCCGCCACAATTCTCCACTTATGCCAATGTCCATAGGAACCGCGCTGACGTGGCTGGTGGCACTGCTAGCCAAATTTTTTGGCCAAACCTACTATATGTTCGGGAGAGTAAAATCTGCTATAAAAAATTTCACTTTGGCCGCTGTATTCCGCCCCCTCTCCTCTATTTTCTAACACTCCTCTAACTTCGCCTCTCCTGTTCCACATAACCCTCCGCTACACTAGCTCTCGTGTCACAATTCTCTACATGTATGTTATTGATCAACGTACACAACATAAATCAACATATCTAGCTGAACCGTTAAATAAAGGACTAGAACCGAGACACCGAAATTTGTATAACACCGCCGGGCGAGTTTTGATCAACATATATATCAGAACAAATGAGAATATTCATACCTAATTTTGACAGATAATTATTATAGTATCTAAAGTAATTACTGCATGGAAACGTTGTTTGTGGTTGATTTCGTACAGACTTCTACATTTTCGTAAACTGCTTTACAGCAATATAACTGTAGGGGGCCTACGGTGCGTAGCCTGTATGCCATGGCCCAAAGCTCAGCTCAGATTCTCAAATTACGTCACCATTAGGCCACACCCCCTTTTAAATCAAATTGTCTCGTTGATTTTACTGGATTTATTATTGCTTCAAACGTTATAAAAACAGGACTTTTTGATAAAATACCGCAAGGTAAGTAATAATATTGTAAAATATTATTGTTTAGTGCTTTTATTAAAAAATACGCATAGTTTGGTTCAAATAGACTATAAAATACGTATGAAAATCCTAAATAACTGTACAATATGGATGGTACATGCATAAACCCATCTCTAAATTATATAACGTACGCAAGTACAAAACTACTCCTTCTCTATATTTACAATACAATATCGTATACACGTTAAAATGTTAGTAGGCCTATTGAATATTGTAGAAATTCATGAAGACGGCATGGAAGCCTGCACGGAATGCTATAAAATATCCCGGCTGCGCATACCCTGACACATACGCGTCACGGATTAGAAGATGAAAGCTGCAATGGCTAACAATTAATGTGTTGGTACTTGGAAATGGTCGCCACATTTATTCTATTACTACCATCAACATATGGTGAAAAATATGGTGTAATCGTAATTAGTTTATTTGTAGCACGCGCTTGACTATCTATATAGCATCGTGTGTAACTAAGGGAGGGCATAAGCATGATTTACCGACGCTAGGCGAAAAATTCTTTATGAATCCTTTACATACATGATGAAATAAACAAACATTGAACAACGATTACTAATCACTAATGTAATTATTCATATAAAATAAGCCTATTTGAAGATAAATGCAAGAGTAGATAATAACACATTTGTTATTATCTACTCTTGATAAATGTGACATACAAAAAACAGGTCTAATTAATAGGCGAAATCAAATTCCAAATACTATATATCCAATATATTTATACAAACTACAGAAGGCTAGGATGTGATATATGAATACATGAATGGACGACGGGGCACCGGTGGTTAGCATCTAGTTTTTACAAAAACTACAGTAGTAATAGCCCATTGAACATGATGATCATTTAAATCAGACGTCCCAAGTGTGCCCGGTCTCACCGGGATCCTCCCGGTACGACATGCTGGTCCCGGTGCCCCGGTATGAGTCCAGAAAGTCCCGGTCGTACCATTTTTCAGCCATATTTTAAAATTTACATCAGTAAATTACTAAATTTGCCATGGTTGTTGATGTATTTTGATTCCAGCGAACAATAAAAGGCCACAAATGTCAAACACTTTCTTCTTTTTTTGCATTTTCATTTTGAATTTTCATTTTATTTTACATTTATACTTTATAAAAAATGATGGTGCGCCGCGACAAACACATGTCGCAGCCCGCCACAACTTTTTCCGTTTTTGCGCACCGCGAAAAAACGGTGATAGACCATTATCACAAGTGATCCCTTTCTTGGATTTTCCCAACTTGGGACCTCTCTTTAAATGAAAGTGTCAATGACACTGTAGCTCACTTAGGGTGTGATAGAAGACGGAGGGGGATATATAAAGCAAGAGTATATATGGGAGAACTCCCATTATATAGCATATCTCCCATTATATACTCTTGATAATGATATATGCATAAGATTTGATACCTACCAAAAATATTCACGAGCTGTATCCACAATAAGTGCTCACGCGTTTTTAATCCAATTCCTAAGTAACTCTTTCTAATTTAAGTTACTCCATCAAGTGGTTTCAGCAAGGCAGATAGTGACGCGACATTTTACAAACATTTAACATTTTGGACTGGCCAGCTAGTTCATAACAAAGCTAGTGGATTTAGTCGGCTACATTCATCTCTCAATTATGGCAATACAATTAATGATACACTCAATCCTTCGCATGGGTATTGCTCTAATGAAGAGTAAACGTGCCAGAAAATTTCGTGAAAATTCCCGCACCCAATTATGTGACAACACAAATTTCGAATTTTTATGTAAAAATAGCATTTTGGATATTTCTCAATCACCAGAGTATGAAAGCAAAAATTTCGCCACAAGTTAAACACAATATCGTGTATCGTGTCTCTGACGTCATCAGTGTTTAAAGGGCCACGGCTCACTCCACACATACGCAGGCAATCAACTCTATGAAAGTTTACATGCATCGTTATGCATGATGAAATAAGCATGTACAGAGGTGGCGCCTAGTGTTAGCCATCGAATAAGAATGAAAATGAAAAATCCATAAAATTTCGCATAAAAGCTTGAGTGTATCTTTAAACCTTTATTAGCCATCTACTTTGGGATCTGGTTCATGCCAGACTGAAAAAATCTCGATTCTGATAGATTGCGAGTGTGAACACTGCCTAATCCATGCCATCTAAACCTAAGCTTAATCTACTTGGTTGTAAATGTTTTAATGTTTTTTTAAAATATCATTACCACTTAATTTCCACTTATCAGAATATTCAGAGCAAAGTCCTATCTATCTCAAGATTCGCCTCCATATCACATAAATTTTACAAACATATCCACAGGTCAAGCCCACCCCTGATAAATTGTGGACTAAAATGCAAGTGATCTAACACGATAAACAACATGGGAACATTTGATTCAATTATGACTTAAAACAATTATGAAAGTCCCCGTAGTGCACAGTGTAGACATAGCCATATTCAATCAAACATTATAGTATAAGACAGCATAACAATACCTGCAGTTTTGAATATGGCTATTTACAGTGAACAACTTACATTTAATATATATATATATATATATATATATTCGTTGTACTGTGCAGTAAGCAGCAACAACAATTTGCCTCAACTGCAACTTAAATTGACAGCACCAAATCGACCCTCGGCTTTATGCCATTTGAACTATACACTATGATTGAGCAAACATCTTTATTACTAAAAGCACGAAAACTGATCCAGCAGTCTCGCGAGGCATGTCCGCATGCATATACGAAGCTCATTACTACAAGTTCACCAGAACCGTATTATGCCTTACACACGCGCGCATTTTCTCTCTCTCTCTCTCTCTCTTCTCTCCCCCCTCCTCTCTCTCTTCTCTCCCCCCTCCTCTCTCTCTCTCTCTCTCTCTCTCTCGCTCTCTCTCTCTCTCTCTCTCTCTCTCTCTCTCTCTCTCTTTCTCTTCTCTCCCCCCTCCTCTCTCTCTCTCTCTCCTCTCTCCTGTACTCTCTCTCTCTTTCTCTCTCTCTCCTACTCGCTTTGCGTATCGCTCGTGCTCTAAACTCGAACTTTGTGACGACCCATCTGAAACCATAGTGATCGACCGATCAGACGGCATCGACCCTCGCGTCGTCACGTGGGCTCGAGGGCGGCGTCGCCGCCATCATGACAACGTTGTAGCTCGGCGGCTCGGCGTTCTCGCCCCAGTAACCCGACGACGTGTCCGAATCCGACGTCAGGTGGCCCCGCGGAGCAGCCAGCGTGTCGTTCGCATAGCTCGGCGACGCCGGCCCGGCAAACTTCTCGCCGTCGTCACGCGGAGCTTGCCGCTCGCGCGCGCCGCCGCCGACGCCGTCGTCGGGAATGTTGGTGACGTAGAGCACGCCGGGCTTGCCTCGCAGCTCGTCACGCGGCCGCTCGCTGACCTTGCGCATCGGCCGCGGACTCTTGTCGACGTCGACCTTGCGCGTCTGCAGCGGCAGGCTGTCGTAACCCGGGTGCAGCGGCGGCGGCGTTGCCGCGACGACGGCGGCGTCCGCGTTGTTCGAGTTGTTCGAGGACGTGAGCCGCGTGACCTCGTCCCGCCGCACAGGCGTCGGCAGATTCACGTAGCCGTGCTCGTCCGGCACGTTCACGTAGTACGGGTGAGCGCCGCCAGGTGTCAGGTCGGTCACCGACGTGTTCGCGGTGGCGCGTTGATCTAGACTGTCATCGAGCAGGCGCAGGTAGGTGTTGTTCAGGTCGAGATAATGCTGTAATTACACGGGTAGCAGTGTTGGAAATAGCAGCCTGGCTCCCTCTCCCCAAGTCTGGGACTGGTAATCTTTGAGCAGGACTAAGAATTGTGGATGTTACTGGTATAGGTTGTAGGGTAGAAGTGAAAAACGTTCGATATCAGTACTGGCTGGGATTTTAGGCTTATTTTCATGATGGCAAATAGTAACGCGCTAACGACCATGACGAAAATCTACTCCACTATGCATGTATGCCGTTTAATCAAATTTTGTGCATTTTTAACGATTATGTGTGCAACTAATTATTAAGCACTTCTGATGCAGGGACAATCTGTGATACGAAACTGGTATCAATAGTAATGTGCATGTGGTTTAAAATACTTGTACAGAAAAACTGTTCCCTGCCTTGATAGGTTTCTCATAATATCAGGTCTATTTACAAAGATTTCTTTATGTACACATTTACCAAGAGGCATCTCACATGATGCTAACGTACAGAAAACACTAAGACCTCTGCCTCCCTAAATCTCTTCTTTATGCCACAGCAGGATTTTCCATGGTATCCCAATGTTCCTATTCACAACTCTATCAGTACCTGTCTAATATCCCCCTCTAGCATGTTTCCTATCTTCTGCACTAGCTGGTGAAATGTTGGCCTCTGCTCAGGCTCCTCTTTCCAACACTCTTGCATCACCCTGTACCTATTAACAAACAGAAAAAAACAGTAATGCTACTATTCATGTTAACTAGGATCCAACACCTGAAATGTGTTCAACTTGAATGATAGTACTATAAATAAACTGCCATGTTACATTTTATGCAATGAAGGCGACCTCGAAAAAGATACCAGATTTACTATATGCAATAAAACGTTCAAGTACTGTTGCTCGTGCGGTCGACACCAGGTTTAAAACTTTACAGCTGCTCGTATTTATAACCGAGCGATTATGAGCAGCAGACGATCGAAGCTCAGAACATGCAAGCTCAGACATGATACAGCTGCTTACGTCTCGCGTGGCGCATAGATGGGCTTCGACATTCGATAACCGTTCTTGAGACGCTGAATAAATTCGTTGTTGATCTCTATGCCGGGATACGGGCTTCCTCCCAATGCAAACATCTCATACAGCAGGATGCCAAACGCCCACCTGTGTTGAAAACACAATGTATATATGTGTGCATCAGTATTACATTGTCGTTGTGCTGGCTTTATACTAAGAATACACCCTTGCAATGACTTACTGAAACAACTGATATGATATTTATTAGTTTCACTTTACCAAATTATAATTTTAGTTAATAAATTATATTCATAATGTAACTTATGATATTATATATTATATAATTACTTTTGCATTTAAACATGTGCAATTTTCTCTGCTATAAGTAAGACAATTTCCTAAACTATGAAGTGCTGCTTACACATCACTCTGACTTGAAAAGACCTTGTCTAGAATACTCTCAAGTGGCATCCATTTGATAGGCATCGGACCCTGCAAATACACCATTTACAACATCACCATCACCAAATGTAATCATCAGTATGTATTTATAATATAGAATGTATTTAACATATAGTACACATACCCAGATAATAACATACGTATATGCACTCATAAAATGGTCCTTGTACTGAAACGTCTATTTCATATATGAATACGTAACATGTTTATGCAGTAATCATTTCTTATTATAACAACGTAAGCAATGCTGCAATGGTGAACCCTACTCACTGCACTCTGCTTCACATAGTCAGGATACATTTCCATGTCTTTGGCTAATCCAAAGTCACAGATCTTAACGACGTCATCATCTGCTACCAGCACGTTCCTCGCGGCCAGATCACGATGAATGCACTGAAACACAGTTCATAACAGCATACAGAAAAGGCATTCCTGCATGGATCTACTGACAGCACGCACTACATAACTCAAATGTTCAAGTGGTCAACTTTTCTATCTTTTAAACTTGAAACCAACCTGAAACTATGGTATCCACCATAGTCGGATAAAGCTAGCTAGGTCATCAAGTCGTGTCCCTCACACTTCTGACACATAGTTAGAACTCATAATGGCTACATTAATAGAATTTGTTTAGCTAGAACCAATTTCATGCTCGAAGAGATCAGGATATAAATCCATGGACGCGATATCACATGTACGGGAAACATTTTGAAAAACGTTAACTTAAACACGCTACAACCTGCAATGTTTGTAAGCGGATTACGTACATAAGTTGTTCATCAAAAACGGCTACACTTTAATAGAAAATGATGCAGATACAGACAAGAAGATGGACACGCCTGCAGGTGCGTGCATGCGTTACCACGACCCGCAACTAAAAACTACTACATACAAAAGCTGCGTCACATCACAAGTACCATCAACCAGTCTCGTTGTGGCTTACACACAAAGAGCGACCCAACTTGAATTCAAAACAAAGAGCATACAGCAGGTACAACCTTTAAGCAGTCTGCAAGCTTTGTTGTTGTAAGCAAACTTGCATACAAAACAAAGAGCTGCCTCATACAAACCTTTTGCGATGCGAGGAACTCCATGCCGCGCGCGACCTGGTAGGCGTACGTCAGCAAGTCCTGCACGGTGATCGGCTTCTGCTTCCTGATCGACTGGCCACGGTTCGCTCTGCCCTCCTCACCACCTCCCTCAGTGTCGCCCGTGAGTCCAGTTGTCTGCGTCAAGTTGTCTGTCGCAACGCAAAAAAACGTTACAACCGATACAGCGAGAAAATTCGACACTAATTTAAACACGCGGTTCACGGCGAGAAAACGGGTTTATTGCAACGCAGGGTCAGCCAGCGAGCTTCGACGTTCACTTCTCCGCGATTGCTTTCGAGTCGGAAAATTCGCGAAATGCCGGTTTCGATGACCATATTAACGAATGCCGCCAACAAAGGGTGCCTGCTCGACCACGATGTGCAAAATGCGAGAACGCGCTGTCGCTCGGTGCTGCCGCCTACCTGACACGGCTGACGCCTGCCTGCTCATGGCGGCAGACACATCAGCCACGCTCGTCACACGCGATCTATTACCGTTGGTGACGCTGTCGTCGTCCAGGTTGCTGCCATCTGGCTCGTAGACGAAGTTGCTGCGGTTTTTGCGCAGGAATTCACGCAGGCTGCCGAACTTGCAGTACTCCATGATGAGGAAGAGGATGCCTGCAGCAGAGTGAGCCGTGCGACGGCGAATGGTGACACAGAGTACACGTGCATAGCTCACTAGTAAACGCCACTAGCATACTAGTACACGTACCTAGTATACTATTGCATATTCAGCACACTAGCATGCATGCCTAACACACTAGTACATACACACACAACACACTAGTACACACGACTAGCACGCTAGTACAAACACTCACAGTACACTAGTACACTTACAGCACCCTAGTACACATGCATGCAAACACACATGCCCACACACATGCACGCATGCCCTCATACACAATGATGCACCTAGCACACTAATACATGCATATAACGATCTACCTATTATGTTGTCCAATATTTAGTTGAACATGCAATATGCAATGATATCACCTGCTACGACATTAACGCTTCTTTTGTACCTATAATGAGATTGCTACACTGTTTTAACCATGTATTCATTACCCTATTATATTATTTATTACATTTACATATATTACCATGCTTTGTGATGACACCAAGAAGGTTGACAATGTTCAAATGATGGCCTATGTGAATTAGAATCTTTATTTCAGACAGTAATGCTTTCCTTTGAGACATGTCCACTAAAATTCTTTCTAAAAATCAAGAGAGAGAGAGAGAGAGTAAATATCCACACTCACCTACAACAACAGCATTAGCATATACTCTCTAATCAAAATAGTTGTAAGTTGTAGATTTTATAAATTAAAGACAGTGGTAGTATAATAGGTATATACTTTTACCTGGTGATTATAAATACGTAATAGTAATTGTACGTTATATGTAGAGAGGTATGTTTGTTGTATAGGTACACACATAAACCACAAACTTTGTAGCAATAATTTCACGTGTAAAAACAGTAGTAAACACACAGAATCCCAACAAATAAACTTTCTATCATTTTTCTTTATAAATAGAGATTACATATACATTAATTACCACTGAACGCTGCGAATGAACAGCAAACATGAATAGCACACACAACTGATGACAAGCATTTGTGATCTGTACCTTTCAACATCTTAACGGCGACTGTGGTCGAGGCTTCCTGCTCATCGATTCCTACAGCCTGCGCTCTCATCACGCAGCCGAACGCGCCCTGTCCTAGCTTCTTACCTGCAACAAATGCACACATTCTGCTCACCATCACATAATTGCCACCTGATAGCACTACTCTTACAAGCCAATTCATGCTTGCTTTACTGCGCAAATCAACTCTAAAAGGTGAAATTGAATAAGATAAATTAAGTATGCAGAACGAACAGCCAGGTGTTTGAATCGGCCACAAAGAATGGGTTCTTCGCAAAGGCACACCAACCTAGCACACCTTATTGCGAAAACATGACGTACATCGTAGTGTAGGTTACTACAGTTGACTAACCCAGCGTCAGGCGTTCCTTGGGAAACTCGTATCGTGGATCGAATGAGAGCAACTCTGCCTGATCCTGAATGGGTATGTCCGGGTTAATTTCTCCTTCAATGCTACGGTCTGGATTCAACTCTCTGGTAGCTATCACTGCCCACTTTTTCAGTTGCTAGAGTAGAAAGCAAGTATATGAACAGGATGCAACTAAAATTACTAAATTAAGTTTTAGTAAAATCGTTACATTACTTAATGATCTAATACACATATACATAACAATAACCTAATCAAACTGCAATCAAGCTTTATTGCACATCCAGTTTTCTACCCATACTCACCCTACATACTTTTTTTTACATTCCTTGGCAGTCACCTCCCAGTATTGAACACATACGGCAGTGTTCAAAGAAATTTAAACAAATAACGCATGCAAGTGTTCACCCATACCCGTCTGAAGTAGAGTTTCCAGATAAGCCACACGGCCAAGATGCAAATGATGAGGATGGCTAGAATGACTCCAACTAGTAATCCTGGGCTCACTCCTCCTTCAGCAAGCACTAAAAATGCAATTCACAGTCAAAATGTCACAAACATTCAATCATTAAGAGCTTATTTAAATCACGATAGATGTAAACTGTTCCATTTTAAAGAAATTCCACTGCATTGGGTTTTTTTTAATTTCTCGAGATTGACCTCTGGATTACAGCATAAAATTACAATTTGCATTCTTGATACTTGGGTTTTAAAACAACAATATTTTTGTGCCATCAACTGTGCATGATCTCATTAACAACTAGCCCGACCAGGCTGTGCGACCGATTGTCTATACAATATTGTCTTCTAACCCTAGCAAGACCGTTTCTTAGAGCTAATTAACATCCTAATCTAAGTCTCTTGCTTGCACCAGATGATTGTGCCAGATATAAGTAGCTCTGGTAACAGAAGGTGTACCAATGCATGGTTAATTGAGAAGATTTCCTCTTGTAAACGAAACATGGCCATTCGGTGTGCACACGGTAATTTTATTTGGCAAGTTTGATTATTTAACTATCATTTCTGTGAAATCCTGCATTATCATGAAGTAATTTTTATACTGGAATATACACACTAGAGCAATTATTGAATTGGCTCATGAAGCAAGAAGGAATCTCACAGACATACCAATAACTTTCAGCGTTTCGCCGCTCCTTATGATATCACCCAGGTTGCTAGCCTCACACTCATATAAGCCGTCATCTTCCTTCACTAAGCGTTCGATAATCAACATTTGACCTTGCGTGATATTCTTGCTGATAATTCCTGTGGCCGTACTTGCATCCAGCAACTAAAGATAAATCAGACATCCATCAGGAACCGTAATCGGTTGAGTAGGATGGCGTGTCCTTCTGCAACCACACCAAGCCAATGACTGTTTGTCACACAAGCCATGCACAGATGGCTCAGCACGCACGCTGCTTTTATCATACACAGGTGCAACACCAAGCGATTACGCGCCTACATGGCGCCAGCTACTGATGACGGCATTTAGTGAAAGCTCACCACGCCGTCTTTGTACCACATGAACGTTGGCTCGGGAAAGCCATCCGCTTGACAGGTCATGTTGTGCATACTCTCAGCATCCCTGCTCAGCATCCCCCTCAGACGAGAGATCCATACTGGCGGTTGTATTTCTGTAAACGATATAGTATATAAGTGTGGAGTATGATACCACTCGCACATAGCCTAACTACTGCAATTCCGAATTCTTACTCAGTGATCGAGTTGAAGACATATATACTAATTTTTGCAGTGTCACTAGCTGGACGTAGAAATGTCCTGATTACGTGCCAGTCACCAATGGTAATAATATTTGTTATGCAGAAAAATGACCCTGTTTTTAATATTATTAATTTTTTCAGCTGTTATGTCACAGTATCACAAAATCAAACAGTTTACCTTGTGATCACGATTCTTCTTCTGTGAACAATGTCAAACTTTAAAGCGTACATAAGAAACTCCTCCTTTCTTTAAACACATCAACATAACTTACTTATGACTTGCACAGTTAACAGTAGACTTGCTAGCCACTATAAATCACAATATTTATCATACAGCTATCTACATCCGGTAGGATATTGCAAAAGACACATATGGCTTTTATAACTGATGGTATTTATGGCGTGTTTATACAGTATTCAAGGAAACAGTGTAGTAAGATGAAGTGGATGCCAGGTAGAATAAACATTACATGCTGTTTGCAATATGTGCCTGCTGGCAAAACCTTCCCATTACTGGGGTCCCCAGATCATCAATAAACATTGAGATAAGATTTTCGGCTGCTCCTTTGCTCATTGAACACGAATGTTCGAAATTTGCGTGCATTTTCTCTCATGATTTTCATTTTTGCAATATCAGTGGGTAAACACCAATGGCACATACTCTTAAGACAGCGTTAGGTCGTGTTTAGATTGAATGCCATGCGACGCGACACACTGCAACTCACTGCGACTGAGTGCTTAGGTCGACAGCGACGCGACTGACAGCGACTGCCTGCGACCAGTCACAGGCAGTCGCAGAAGGCGCTTAGGTCGAAGCAACGATCGACTATAGATCACGCAACTAAATGAGTTTACATCGAATATTAAAAGCGTAGGTCAAGCCTTGAGATTTGTGCCGCAATTCCGTATTTCCTCCTATACCTTGAGTTAAGGGGTCCCCCTCCATTGATACACCTTGACCTTTTACGACCCCCCCCCCCACCCGACGTCCCAAATGTCAAGACCGCACGTCGAGCGGTTAAGACTTGTGCCATAACTGTTGACACACGGACGCACGCACGGACGCACGCTCATGCGATTCTACAAGCTGCATCTGACTTCGTCATCTGAGCTAAAAACAAGGCTTGCGACCGGTGGAACTAGTACATGCGCGACTTGCTGCGACTGACAATTTTCCAGTCACTGAGCATCGCAGACACGTCGCTGGCAGTCGCAGGGGTGCTTAGGTCGAACTTTCTCTGCGACGCGATTGCCGCTGCGACTTGCAACCAGTTGCAGAAAATCAGTCGCAAGGCAATCGCGTCGCGTCGCAAGACCGACCTAAGCCCGGCTTTAGGGAGAGCTCTTCACTTCACAATATGAAATATGAACACTAATAAACAAATTGCCATGCGAGCAACTCAGTTAACACCACACAACCAATATAAACTCATAAAATCACACACCAACTCAAACACAAACACCGTGCAACGCGAAATATCACCGTCAGGCAACCTCTGCTGTATACTCACGCTTGACCTCCATCGCCATTGGCATCACGCGAGAGGGCAGCTCTGTCACGCTCTCCTGCTCCACCGCGCTGCAGTAGTACGTGCCAGACATCTGAAGCTCGATGCCATCAAAATTCAACACAGCAACGTGCGAATACTTCGTCCTGTATTCGGCCACCGTCAGACCTACCGACGAGGAAAAACATTATGATCGCACAAGGAATACCCACGTTCGGGTTATAGCACAGCACTCACTGCGTAGTGAGCTAGTAGTAGCAACACAGTATGTACCAGAGCTGTACCATACTCATTTTGCCTTGCAATCCAATGGGCGGTTTGCAATCTGGGCAGCTAACTATGCATAGTTTGCCATTGACACTGCCAAGACCTGGTGGGCAACTGTCACCTCTGTCTGTCCCCCAGTTAAATAGCAATTCTGCACAGTTATGGTACTATACCGTGGTAATGGGAATAACGCTTGCGTTGCGCTTCCACTGCTAATGGCAGGTACATTTTGATGAAGATTTACTGCAACAGTGGCACAGACATTCAAAAGTTTTTCCTATTTAACTCGTTTTTCCTATTTTATTCGTTTCAACGCAATACAAAGATGCTTGTTGACTCACGCGTACCCTTACCATGCATAGTGTTGTTCTTGATCAGCACTTCGCCACCATCTTCCAGCGTCCAGCGCGGGGCATTGTACTTGAGCCGATTCGCGCGGCAGGTGCAGCTGGCGCTTGTATTCTCCACCGTTTCCACCATGTCAGTGAGGAGATCGTATCCAGCTGGCTCACGCAGGATGCCAAAGCCAGTGGCAACATCTGCAGAAACAGCAGGAGAACGTCAGGTTACTACAGAGCTGCTGCAGAAACAGCAGGAGAACGTCAGGTTACTACAGAGCTGCTGCAGAAACAGCAGGAGAACG